CTTGTTGGACTCAAACTTTCTCCAGAACGGCCACCCTCTCCAGCAACACTCTTTTCTCTCTCTCGCTCTGTTCGCTCTTGCAGAACGAGCCAACACATTAGAGTTTCACTGACACTGCACCGTCCCCAGGGGGCACCACGGAGCCGGGAGCCAGGGGCCCTGCGGCACACACACGCTCGCACACACGAACAGCCCTGATTGAAAGTGACATGACAGCCGCTCGGTCCGGCTATATGTGCATGCTCTGTGTGTGAAAAGAGGCTGTGTAGGGAAACGTAGATTTGATTTTCCTTTATCTTTATCTCCCCACCGCTTCCCCCTTCTCTCTCCCCCCTCCTCCTCCTCCCCCTCGGTGAGTGCAGCAGTCTCGCAGTCACTGCATCAGTAATGTGACTGGGCCATATTTCCCAGGAGTGCACAGCTCCGCAGGATTTAGCCTCTCTTTTATAACCAGTTTAGGAAAACAATGACAGCGTAGATATTGACTGAGCTTACAGGGGCTGTTCTGCCCACCGCATTGCTTCCCCCTGCTCCATCGCCAAGCCAAGGGAGGGAAAGGTAAGGAGGCTGTTCCCCACATTACGCTGTGTCCTCCTCGCGTTGCAGTGATCAGGTGTACGATTAAAACTACAATGAGCGCCTAAAACTGCACTTGAAATTGAGAGGAAGTTGTCGCATTTCTGTTGCAACAACGGCGCATGAACCGTGAGCTCTTCAAGTTTTCGTGCAACTGATTCGACAAATGCGTCCATGCGCGTCTTGTGGTGTGTTCAGTTGCAGCTCATCCATGACTGTTTAAACAGCCTTCCTCTGTGTTCTCCACCTCTCTGGCTCGAACTTCCCCCCTTCAAGAATATATCAATTACAGCTGCATTGCACTGATGTCATATTGCGAGTCATTATCAGATTCAGACACACACCATTCTGGCGATCGATCGCCTGCGGCTTAATCAATAGCGCTGCCCCCGACGACGCGCTCGGATGAAGAGAACAAACTGCGACCGGCCTGAAAAGGTGTTTGTTCCAACACACTGATTAACTAATTTAAACAAGTGTTGCTGGTTTGATCGCCCACACATCAGCTGCCATCTTTCAAGAGAGATATCGGAGCGATGGAAATAGATGTGTTGGGGTGTGTGTGTGTGCGGTGGGCAGCTGAAGTGCGACACTGTGTTGCGTTTATAAGGGTGTGTGTGATTAGACCGAGCAGATGTATGATACCACAGTGGCTCGTATATGCCAGAGATCATGAAATAAGCCGACGGTGGATGTTGATTGTTGCTAGTGGCCGTGTGTGTGTGTGTTTATGTGAGGTATGTACATAGGCATGTGTGCGCTGGGGAGTCTGAGCGCATGTCTTTTGTTTTAGTGAAGGATCTATGTGTGTGTATGAAGGAGGTTGTGTACTGTATGTTAGGTCGGGCTCCCCGCACCCCTCCAGTCCTACTGTACAGTTTCCATCAGGCCACTGCAGTGCTGGTGTAACCCTAGACCCCAGGGGACAACACTGCCTCTCTGTCCCTCCACCTCCAAATCAATACAGCTCCACACAGCCCTGACAACCTGGGGGAGACCATACACACACACACACACACACACACACACACTCCCTCTTTCTCTGTCACAAATGCGGACACTCCAATTCAGACTTGCTCTTATTTACGCATTATTTGAATGCAAATCCAAGAATGCAACAGTATTTTAAAGAAATTCACTCTAGTAAAGATTTTGAATAAAAACACAATACACACACACACAAACACACAGAGTAAGATGCAATAGTATTTTAAACAAATTCACTTTGGTCAGCATTTCGAATAGACACAATACACACACAAACGCAGAGTAAGTGTATATATTGCAGGTTATAAACTGTTGTGTACTATTCAATATGTAATTTTATAATCTTATTTTATAAAAAGAATTTATATAACTTTATAATTTAGTTTTTTGGTACAAAAGTAAAAGTTTTTAATAAAATAAAATTTCAAATTGTGTATGTGTGTATATATATATATAATGTTTTTGTTTATATTTTAGTATATATTTTAAGTTGAAAAATGAATATAAATGTATATTATCTATGGAAATATTTATAAATGATAAAATAAATAATCATAAAAGTATATCATTAATACAATTATTGAATAAATATATATTTACAATTATATATTTGTATGATTTTATTACTTTATTCTTTTTTATTTATTTCATAGATGATTTGTACATATGCAAGGCTTTTTGCACTTTTTTATAGGAAAGTATAGTGAAGACAGGAAAGGGCGGGTGAGCGAGTGAGAATGGTTTCAGGACATGACTATGGTTAGAGTCAGACCTGGGCTCTGACACTGTATTATTGTGTGTTTTAACTGGAATGCAGTATTGACTAATCAGAAACCAGAAATGAAACGGCCTGTTTAACAACATGTAGTAATTTATTCTTAATTTAAGACATTAAAAACAAGTCACGAAGGCTTGATCAATGCCAGTACTGAATGAATTGAGATTAAATGACATGAGATTATTATTACTATTATTAGTGTTTTTATTGTTTTTGTTGTCATGATCAGCAGCGTAAATGAAAAGATAGGCGACCCAGATGTTAATTTGGTTTCACATTGAGTCGTAGTATCAGGTATATAATGACAATGGCTGAGTTGCATTTGGCTCTGCAGCAGGTGAAGATTGAGTTTGGAGGGGGATTGGCTTTGTGCGGAATAACTGATAATTGATTGAGCAGCAGCATATTCTTGGGGACTCGGCTAAGGCAGGTTTGGGTAAATTGGGTCGTTAGTTGCTCTTGACATGTGCACATGTGACAGTGCAGGCAGGTATGCCGTATTGACTCATTGCTCATTGTCATGTGAGTCCCAGGATTATTTTCAGTTATGATTCACCATGCCGTTGCTTTTTCCCGTTCCGTTTTGTTGTAATTCCGATATGTGAAACAGGTGCTTGATGATGAGGACAAATGATTTGCAATATGTTTGGGTTTTGTCCGATGTGCACCTCCGTCTCGTTCTCCTCTCCGGCGGCACTCAGAGCGAGACATAGACAAGGCTGGCCTCTGCTGGAAGGGGGGGGGCAGGGCAGGCAAGAGAATGCAAAAGGAGAAGTGCTTTGCTGTCATAATGGGGTCAGTGGCTCCCAGAGAGATGCGTCTCCTCGCTCAAGAACCCTCCTTGTGCGCGTCTCCTCTCTGTTCCATGCAGGAGGGGCGGGAAAAGAGAGAGAGAGAGGCCGGGATGGAAAGAGGAGGAGGAGGATGCGAGACGCGCATCCCCTGACAGGCTGCCATTGATTCGGTCTGGGGTTTTAAGACCCAGTGGTTTGGCCTTCCTCGGATGGAACTGCCCATCCCCTTCACCAGAAATCATTTGCAAAATATGTGCACTAAGATAAGAGGATGAAGAATAAGAATAAGTATTTATCAACGAAAAACCATGTTTAATCCTTAGATTTGTCTCCCCCTTTCCGTTTTTTTTTCTTCTTTTTTTTATATCGGGGCATAAAAACAGCCTATCTCTCTTGGAGAGATTAATTTGGGAAAGGAGCTTTGAGAGGGAAAGTGGGATGATTGCCGGCTCTTCTCTGGGAATTGGGTTTATGGTCCAGGGAAAAGCATGCAGAAAAGCAGGGCTGCCGAGAGACTGCGGCAACACAATAACCATTTAGCCTGTGCATATCTGCTCCTGTTTAACCCCTCACTCAACGACTGATTGATCTGTGTATGTGATCCTGGTTGTAAGCCATTTTTTAGGCCATTATGGCTTCCTTTGTGCACAGTGGTGCGTACAATGTATGATGATTTTTTTGAAATTGTAAATAAAACAAAGATTTCACTCTTAAAAATAAACGTTCTTTACTGGCATTGATGGTTCCACTATGGAACCGTTTAATTGCACAAAAGATTCTTTAGATCATCAAAATATTAAGCTAAGAAATGGTTCTTTTATGAATTGTTCACTGAAAAGTTCTTTGGGGAAACAAAAATGGTTCTTCTACGGCATTGATGAGAGAACCCCACTTTGTAACCTTTATATTAAAGTGTTTTGCAGTACGTTTTACAAGAAAATACTATTTCAGTCTTTCTACATCAAAATTTCATGTTCAATTCAATGTGTTACTTGCCATTTCTTTGTCATCAATTGTAAAATTCACTAGCAACTTCTGAGTGAAAATTGTTTCAACAATTTCCAGTTTTTTAAAGTGTACATTCTTAAAAATAAAGTGTTATTGGAATCTATGGTTCTATGAGGAACCTTTAACATCCACGAAACTTTACATTGGACAAGAGGGTTCTTTATATTGGTAAAAAAAAAAAAAAAAAGGTTCTTTGGATTGTTAAAATGTTCTTTATACTAAAAAAAATGTATTTTAAGAACTGTTCACTGAAAGGTTCTTTAAACACCCTTTTTTTGAAACCTTTGTTTTTTTTTAAGAGTGTAATTTGACAAAACTCTTTTCTCTCCTACTTTTCTTCTACACTTCAATAGGGAGAGATTTGATATTTTATTATAAATGTATGTTCTGTTCTCAGGAGTCCATAGAACGAGAGCCTCGTAAGGCATTGTGCTGATTTAAAAGATTCATAAACATGTATCCAATACTCCAGAATAAACAAATGAGTGTTTTTGCATTAGAAACAGAGAACTCTAAATCAAGCGGAGGACGAATGTTATGTTTCTCTGCCCGGTGCGGAAGTGTGGCGCGTGTGCGCGTGGGTGGATGAATGGGATCGCAAGTGCACATGTGCCCAAAATTTAATGGGAGGGTGTGGAGAAGAAAGAAAATGGGAAGAAAGGAAGGTGTTCGCTCGTGGCTGCAGAGCTCGAACTCCTCTGTCAAAGTGGGGCTGCTAGCCTTGAGATGGACAGACAGGCCTGGTGGGTAAATGGAAAGAGAGATGGATAGAGGGAGAGAGCGAAGGAGACGGGTGGAGGTGTGGGCACGTAGCTTATTATTTCTCTCCTCATGTGTTCTCTTCTGTTCCCCTGCAGAACCACACACTGAGCCAGCACGCACAGTGAGACCGGGCCCCGCAGGACTCCCGGTTCAGCCTAGAACCCCGACCCAGGCCCGGTGGGGGAGGAACATTTCAACATCACAGCCAATCAAAGTGTCATTTGCTACTCACATGTAAAACTCTAACGATTCCGCCACCAGGCGCAGCTATTACGAACGGTGGGGAATGAATATTAATGGGATATGCTATTAAAAAAGAAAAGGAGAGGAAAAAAAGGAGATGGAGAGAAAAAGGTATTCTACGTGCAGTATTTTTTATCGTCCCTTCTTCCTGGTTATGTGTTCCTTATTTTCTTCCCGTTTTCTTTTTGTTTTTCCTTGATTATTTTGGGGACAAAAGATAGGGGGAAAAAAACCGGAAGGAAAAGACACCCTCTGCCTGATTTTAATCTCTAGAAATACATATCTTGTCCTCTGTTGCTTCATGTATCAAACTTCATACGTGCCAATTTTGTTCTTTTCAATGCATATATTCTCAGCCCTTTTTTATTTGTTGATTGATTTGTACCATTTATTTCTTGCAGTAAATAGGTACTTGTGCTGTGCTGTGATTGCTTGCCAGTCGTAATATTTTTCCTTTCTATTATTATTGTTATATATTTTCTTTTTTCTAATTACAGTAAAAAGACAAAAAACATAAAGAAAAAATAAAAAACATAATGGTTTTGATTGGATTTTCCAGTACATGGGCCTTATGGATGTTGTAAAAATGAATATCATTGATTTCAGTGCAACTGGATGATGTCTGCTTTTTAAATGTGAATTAACCAGATTGCAATAAACTAGTACAGTTGAAAATAAACAAATAAATAAATCATGAATAAAGGGAATCCGTGCATCTGAAGTGAGTGTTCTTTCAAAGCGCAGAGTGGCTCTGTTCCCCTGATGCTGTGTGAGCTCTATTCTTCTTGTCATGCTTTCTATTTAACAATAAATATCTGGGAGCTACAGTAATGCTACTCATAAAACAGATAATTTGCTTAAAAAAAAAAAATGACAATGATAAACTCTTGGACGGGTGTGAACATGCTTAACACAGGCTTAGTTTATTTTTACATTAAAAATAATAATAATCAAAATATTTGCGGTGGATATTGTTATACATGTTAACGTGGTAACAACTTTTATACAAATTCAAGTCTACTATGATTCATCTGCAGGAGAGGAGAACAGTAATTCGATATTGCCTCACAAACCATGATTCATGCTGCTTTCATAGTGTTTAATTCAGTGCGAGAGGATCTGAATCAAAGACTTGAGTCTTTGCCAATTTTATATGGTGATTATAACACTGCTCGCCGTCACATGAATTCAACTGTAAAATATGACAATCTGAAAATCATGGGAAAATGGCACTTGTCATTGGTATACTTAATCAAATTTATTCATCAGGTTTTAGAGGGAAAGATTTTATCTTGTATAATGTAAAAAAAAAAATCATAATGCAGGACTATGATGCAAATTTCCCTGAATATTTAGCATTATGATTGCTGTAAATAAGGAAAAACCCAACACTGATCATCAGATGATTTAATGCCTGTGACTCACTGAATAAGGGCACAAACATCTATTTAAAGTACTGTTTCTTTTACCAGTGCAGTTTCTGCTTTAATTGCATCCATGTGTTTAAGCAGCTGGTTCGGCCGCTGAGTCTCATAACTTGAGCCGGACAGAAGGTCGGTGCTGTTCCCAGAAATCAGCCATCGGAACGCATCGATACACTATGGGCCCCGGGGGTCCTCTGAACCTGTCCGCTTGGGAAACAGGGTTCAGCACACCATCTGAGTAACTCCTAAATACTTGAAAACTAGCATGTGATTTTATGAATCATCCACAAATCCCCAATAGTACTGAAAGATGCCCTTAATAGGCTACTGGTGTTTCAGTTGTTTAAGTATTTCATTGTACTGCAGTTTATCAAATCTGTGCTGTATTATGAGCATGTGCTTTTTAAGGGTAAATGGAGATTTCCAAATGAGGCAAAGTTTGAAATTGCATTTGTATTTTGTGGTAGAATTATTTAAAATATTTGAGGATATGATTAAGTTAGCAAATCAGTTAACCAATCTATCTGTCTGTCTAGGCATTGCCAATCTTCACAGCCTCAGAGGGTTATACAGACCCCCACACAGACACCCAGCATCCCAAGGACTCTCAATATAACGAGATAGATTTTCTCTAAAACACTTTATAATTAAGAAAATTCACCAACATTACCACATTATATAATGCTTAACAGATCATTAGCTAGCAAGTTAAAAAAATAAATTAATCTACAAATCTCACTGATGTACATGCAATTACAATTGACTATACAATTTAGTTTTTTGACATACCGTTATAAATTATATATATTTTTATTTTTCTGTTTGTTTTGTTGATTAGCCTATATTCTATTCTATTATATTATATTATACTATACTATATTATATTATTACACATCCGACAAAACAAACAGAAAAAATATATTAATATACAGTGATATGATTTATATTATTATTTTGTATTATATTGTGACTGAGCGTTTCGGTACCTCATAATCAAACCGATTAACATAAACATGAGATGATATGATTATCTTATCTGTTTCTTATCAACAGGTAGTACAGTAGTCGTGTGTACTCAATTTCACCTCAAGATGCTTGTTTCTCTTATCAGCGTCTCAAAGTCTTGTGATAGACTCGCATGAGCTGTTAGGGACCATCAATAAAATACCGCGCAGTTTTGTACGATTATAACATTTAATGGGCAACACCTGTATAACCACAAACACACACACAAAATCCTTAGTAAACATTTAAAATATAATATAATTTGGTTAATTCTATTAATCCTCCGAGAGTAACAGCCAGTGATTGTAACGATTGTTTCGCGTCACAACGCAAACATTTTACGACTGTCCCTAAGAACACCACACCACAGAGCACAAGAAAAGTTTTGCAAATATTCACTTTCTTCAGGCTATCGGACAGTTTAAAGACCTGGATCGGATGCACTGTGGGGAGCAATATTTATCAGTCATTTAGCTCATGAGATGAAACAAGGTAAGCGATAATTATTATAATATGTCTGTTTATTCTAGCGAAGTATCAGACAGGCAGTTCGTGCGTATTTTAGTTCCGGGTGTGTTTCACTGAAGTAGGAACCTCAGTGGGTTTACCAGGAAAGGTGTGTCATTCAGCGCTAAACCTAAACCCTTGTGTATTAGTTACTAAATGCACGATACAGCGTCATTGTTAATGAATTTTCTCTGAAAACTGGCCATCATAAGGGAGCATGGCTGCGGCGCTACTGTCAGAGACGGCGATCAGGCATCGGTCTATGGCAGAGGAGGATCCGAACGGGAATGAACATGGGGCGGCTGCACGCAGCACCGCGCCTCGCTGGGGCCCGCAGCACGCTGGAGCCCGACAGCTCGCCAAGCTTTACTCTCCCGGTAAGACAAGCACATCGGGTGTCATTAAACACACCTGTGTTTATATGAATCGTTTTTCTACTCTTTCACGGTGCAGCATCATCGGGCCACATAAGGCCAGGAAAGCACGAGCGCACACAAAAGTTACGTGCAGCTTTGTGCATAGAGGTCAGTTTGATCAATAATATGTGACAGCAACGCATGAATGACATCAACATAATATAATGAATGTTGGTGCTTATATAACATCCTCCTGCAATATAAGACTTCTTAGTTATGGGTTGGCTGTATTGTGTATTTGCCACTTTGTAAAACTTGTAACACTGTGCGTTTAAACCCTTAGAAGTAAATGCCACTAGAAATTGTACCTGTCAGCACCAAGTGTTGAGAACAAGAGAATCGTTTGCAAACTATGTTTGCAACTCGTAAGTGACTGTTTACTGTTTTCTCTTGACCCTCACATTTATCAAGACCTTTTTGACTTTTTTTCCTTATTGGAACACAAAATAAATTTTGGGCAGTCTGTCACCATTCAGTGCATCTTTTTTTTTTTTTAACATAAAATGAAAGTGAATTGTGACATTCTGCCTTGAGTAAATGATGACATATTTGTTTTAGGTGAACTGTTTATGATTTGCTGTACAACATTTACATTTTTATAGACTTGGAGACCTTTATGATTCATATTTGGTGCATATGAATAATAGCTTTTTAAGTGTTTTTTTTAATAAATGTGTATGCATATTCACATTGGAAATATTAGGGATGTTTTATATTACTTTTTATATTTGATATATTTTTAATGTCAGGGATATATGGAGAAGTCATGGTCGTTTATTGACATTTAATATTTCATAATATTTTACTTGTACACAGATAAGTGTAATTATTTATATCTTTTAATTTGAAGGATTGGTACCTGCTATGCAGAGGAACTATTCTTCAGAAAATCTATACAATTCTTGTGGTATCATTTTTCAATAAGGTTCCATCCGCTCTTCATTAATAGCATTAACTAACAATGAGCAATACATTTGTTACAGTATTTATTCATCTTAGTTAACATTAGTTAATCAAAATAAAGCCATTTGTTGTAAGTTCATGATAGGTTAGGTCTAAATAAATATTAAGAGATACAACTTTTGATTTTAATAATCTACAGTATTGGTAAATGTTAAGTTACTTTAACTGCGATGCTTTAGTAGCCTATTTTTCTTCATTAGTTCGTTAACTAATGCAGTTAACGAATAGAATCTTATTAAAAGTGTTGCCATGATCTTAAAAATCAAGCATGCAATAATCTAGAATGACAGCAGAAGTCTATTGTGCTGTTCCTTGATGTTCCCAGTTATTAGACATCTTCGACAAGCTGTGCTTCCGCTGATATTTTTTATTTGACCTGTGTCTGCTGTGGGGAGTCTTACACGGAACACCAAATAAACAAATTAATGCATGTTTCAGATTTGACTTCATTCCACTTTTAGCTTAATGGAAAACAGCTCCATCTCTGCACATCATGAGCCGGAGATCAGCAGCGTTAGGAAAAGCCTTTAACCCCCAACCCCACCACGCCATCCTTCTACCCCCCGACTAAAACAAGATTTAGCATTGAAAGTCCCCCTCCACTGTCCTCTAGCTGCAGAAGCAGTCTCATTGTGTCATGGGACGCTTGTAGTGTGCAGCTGCAATTAAAACTACATCGATTTAACTCAAAATGCTATTAAGAATGATAATGACCACTCCATTTTCTTTGCCAACGCACCCAGCGCATTAAGCATATGCTACCACCGGCACGTCCAGCATGTAAATTACTTGGCCATGTTGAGAACGTTTGAGAGAAGTTTTGCGAGGTTAATAAGATAATGTTGTGATGCTTCTCTCTGTGAATGGGGGTGGTTGGGTGGGATTGTGGATGGGATTTTTGGATGAGCTCAGTCGTGTTTAGTATCCACCAGCTGTGAAGTGCATGTCGGAGAGGCTTATCTGTGGGATTCTCAAGGAAAGTATGCTGGGATTGTTGTTTTGCTTGTGCTGTGGTTTGCATGCTGTTTGCAGTTGTAATTACCACACTTTTAAAGTTTATCGTCCATGACATACAGGATTGTGGTTGGGGGGAAAATAATATTTCATAGTATTGCAATATTTTACCTCAAAATATCAACCAATATTCTTATAAATATTCTATTTTTTAGATATACACTACCTTTCAAAAGTTTGGGGTTGTTTAGGGTCACCAAGGTTGCATTTATTTGATCACAAATCCAGTAGAAACAGTAATATTGTGAAATATTATTTCAATAAAAAAAAAAACTGATTTCTATTTTAATATTTTAAAATCTAATTTATTCCTGTGGTGGTAGAGCTGAGTTTTCAGTAGTCATTACTCCAGTCTTCAGTGTCTCGTAGTCCTGCAAAAATCACTCTAATATGCTGATTTGGTGCTCATTTGGAATCATGTCTTATTATTATCACTGTTTTTCTTATGGCTTATTATTATCAACAATTTTCTGCATAATATTTTTGAAAAAACTGTGATACATTTTCTCTTTCAGGATTCTATGATGAATAGAAGGTTAAAAAGAACAGTGTTTATTTGAAATATATTTTTGTAACATTATAAATGTCTTTACTGTCACTTTTAATCAATTTGGAATCCTTGCTAAATAAAAGTATTCATTTATTAAAAAATTACCTTCATTAAGAACTAGTTTTTAAGATGAAGAAAAGCTGAAAAAAGCTGAAAAGATGAATTATTTCTGATTCTGATTTAAATTGAATTAAAATGGTGTTAGCAAACAGGATATAGAACTGCATTTCGAACATGAATGTAAGGAAATAGTACAATTAAATTAGTTTGTAACAAACTGGTAAAGCAAGTTTGTTGAAACAGCTTTTGATTGCTTTGAAAAAAGTCTGAAGTTTGAACTTTGAAGGCTTGGAGGCCTTACGGAGAAGAGAAGTAGATAGATTGATTGCAAGTAAGTTGTGAGCTTGCTTACACTTGGCCAATGTAATTCCAATTCAATGCATTTCGACAAAGACTTGGAATCTTAAATTCTTTAGGTTATTTATTTCCGTACAACCAGAACCATAAGAATTTGTTTTTGCAACTTTTATGCCATAGCTTGGCGCCATGTGGTTCCAAAATGGTAGCGACTCATGGCTCGCTTCTTGCAGGTATCAAACCATCAACCTTGTGGTTACCATTCCTGAATCACACCACCCCCAAATGGTCTTGCCCACCTCAAGCCCTTGTATATTTCCTTTAATTCGATCCTTTATCCACAAAAAGAGCCATAGACTTGGAATCCAATGGTTCGGTTACCTGATGGAATTCAGCTGGCATGAGCTGATGCTGAACTGTCGTCCATCTGGAGAGGCCATGGAGAGCAGAGGCTTGAGCCACAGAATATAATGTCAAGGATGCTAAAAGCAGATGCTCCGGAGGCTTGTCTGAGGCTGGTTTGTGCCTGAGATGAGGTGAGCGGGAATGGCGTTTGGAAGTGTTGAGGCTTACTGGTGAAAAGGGATTGATGAGGCTTCAGTCTGCTCAATGAAGCCTCCGGCTCATTACTGTAACCCCAGGACAGCGGAACAGCTGGATGCCTCTCCCTGCCATATGTCTGCGTGTCATGCACCACTGACTGCTCTTTGTGCTTCTTATCCCACTTTACAGATTCGCCGCAAAGTAAACAGGATTTACAGGCTACTTTCTGTTTCCCCCATTGCCTCTGCCAGCCGCCATGCTCTGGTTACCGGGGTGCTTGCCGTGTGTTTGAGAGAAAAAGAGATCAATATAGTATTACATCTCAAGATCTAGTTTCCTATGCAGTCAGCGATCTTGACTTCAATCGGTTTAGTCACTTCTTATTTGTGGCAGACTGATGTCTTGACTACAGAAAAGCTTGAACTGTGCGGAAAGGTGAATGATACGAGCTGTAAATGGGTGGACGGCACTATAGACACACTGACCTACAAGTGCGAATGTGATTTTAAGCTTATCAGCTGTCAGACACCACTATATTTATTTATGGTAGCAATCCTGCAGATATGCCAACAATGTGTCAACACTGCACAGCAGGAGCATTACTCTTCTTTGTGTCTGAATCCGTACCACCATAACAGTCCACTCGGAGATACATTCCTGTTATATACACACCTTTATGTTTGAGAATAAATTGATTCTTATTCCTCCTGCAGACTTTGAAGTTAATGTGAAACTTCATGCAATTCAAAGGCACATATATCTTTTCTTTAATCTTTCTGCCTGGAAACAAGGCTGTATTTCCAAGGCTCAGGGTTGATACAGTTTAACACTTTTGTTTTATTTTGATGAAGTAACCACAGGTTTTGCCGATATTTACAAGATTGGGGACATCAAATTGAAAAAAAAACGTTTTTTTAAAACTTATTTTTATCTTTGCTACTTTTGTACTCTATTATTGTGATATGGTCCATTTCCGATTTATCCAATGATAAACAGTGCGTAAAAACAAACACTGTGGTTGATCGTTTTATGTTGGTCAGATGGTTTCTTCCTGTCTTAAGTGGCTAGTTCTGGGCAAGAATAAACTGCAGTATGTAGACCGTCTGCCAGTTGCAACAAACTCCTTAAGTTACAAACAAACTGAGTGATAATTTGTTTACAATTATAACTTAGGCTTTTCTTAACTGGAGGGGTTGAGGACAGGCCTTTTGCAAAGGCTACACAGTCTGAGCACTTGAAATCCAGCTGTTTGCTTTCCTGTCACTTTAAGTTGTGACCTCTGGCCCTAGATCAGTCTGAGGGCATCTGGTGGCCTTGGAGATGGAAATTTACTGAAGAAATTTACACTGAGTGTCTTTAGGTCGCAGCTGCTATGTCCACCTTTAACCCTGTGATCTTAGGTTCACTCCCCTATCACTCTCTCTTGATTATCTAATCTCTGACTGACTCTGAATGCCGTCACTGTTTCATCTGTTTTTTTTTAATTCTCCTGGATGTACAGTAGGTGAAGTGAAAGTGGCTCTAATGAGCATTT